GGCCGTCGCAGCCATCTTGGCCGTTGCGGTGCACCGAACTGATCTGAAGCCAGGAGCCAGGTGCTTCTCCTGGTCTCCCATGCGGATGCAGGACCCAAGCACTTGGGCCATCCTCCACTGCACTCCTGGGCCACAGCATAGAGCTGGCCTGGAAGAGGGACAACCGGGACAGAATTCGGCGCCCCGACCGGGACTAGAACCCGGGGTGCCAGCGCCCCAGGTGGAGGATTAGCCTATTGAGCAAGGGTGCAGGCCTACTACAGTATTTCTGAAAGTGAGAATAAATATCAGGGACAATTACTATGTTTTTATTGATGAGGAGCTCATATTTAACATTGCAATGAAGCAATCTTTTAGAGGAATTATTTTATTTTATAATTTATGAAATTATTATTTATTTTAATTTATTTGAAAGAGGAGGGGAGAGAGAGAGATAAATAGAGAGAGAGAGAGAGATCCTCTATCTACTGATCTACTCCCCAAATGGCCACAAGGGCCTGGGCTGGGCCAGGCTGAAGCCAAGAGCTCAGCACTCCATCTGGGTCTTCCCACATGAGTGACAGGGACTCAAGCACTTGGACTGTCTTCTACTGCCTTCCCAGGTACAGGGAAGCTGAATCAGAAGCTGAGCAGCTGGGATGTGAACCAGTACTCCAAAAGGGGTTCTGGCATTGTGTGAGGGGCTTAACTCACTGCTGCACAACAGCAACCCCTCTAGCCTTCTCTTAACAAAAAGGAAACTCTTCTACTGGAATGAATTGATCTGGCTAGCAGTTTGAAGTAGGTCTGTCATATTCTGTGAGGGAATGGAGCAAACTTCTTCATCTTGGTCCAGAAGTCTTTGTCTCTATAAATACAGGGATACTTCAATAAATTCATGGAAAATGGAATTAAAAGCTAAGTTTATTCGGGTGCAAAGTTTTTTTTTATAAATCCATGCATAGTTTTTTCATAATAGGCATTTCCATGAATTTTTGAAGCCCCTTCATATGAGAAAGGATCTACCCGCTGTTTGTCCCTTTGGATTAGAAGTTGAAATTAACTCAGAAACCTCATAGCCCTGAGGAGAGAATGAAAAAATATATGCCTTGAACGTATTATAGGAGAAAATGAGTAAAGGGAGCTCTAGACCTGGATTGGTTGAGAACAGTAGGGTTCACACAGGCCTTATCCTGCTGTGACTCTTTCAGCTGCCTCCTCAGTCTGCAGAGCATAATGAAGCTTGTGACTTAAACCTGGTGATTTCTAGGTAGCATAAGCCTGGTATTCAAAACGAAATCTGATTCCCAATTGCTCTCCCCAGATGGGCCTGTCAGCAGCTGTGCTTGGGTTCCCAGTCACCCACAGCTGTACTGCATTGTTAGGCTCCCGGCCTCAGTGGCCCTTTGACGCTGCCTTCAACCCTCAGACAACAGCTTCTGGAGTAGACTGCTGTGCCGGTGTATGGCACGTGTCTTCCCCAGCACAGCTCCAAAGAATAAACTTGCAATGTGCCAGATGACGCTGATGAACCTGCACTAGGAGTCAAATGTCACATCTGGAAGACCCAGGGCTCACAGTTGGGCTAAACATCACACACCAATCCCATATGTTTGTTCTACATGTATTTACTGAATACCTGCTATGAGCCAGGGGCTGCAGCTCCTGTTTTGTTAGTTGACTGACACTCTGCCTTCCAGGCCACATGTTGGTGTTGATTTTGTCACCTGCTTGTCAATTAGACCATCAGTGGTAAGAATTCCAAGTAATTTTTAGTTCCAGGTCTGCTGAAAGAATGGTCATCAATGCAGAAGGCCTCAGCTGCTCTAAAAATATACAGTAGAGTTAATGTGCTCCAGTTAAAAGCACTATGCTTTTACAGTGCAGGGTGGCAGACCTGAGTTCTATTCCTGGTTCTTTTATTGTGTGACCTCAGGCTTGGTCTTTTCTTGGCTTCAATTTCATCTGTTAAATGAGCAGAGTGGATTGGATGGTGTTTAATCGTGCTTGTAGCTCTGCCATTCAAGGATGGGTCTGTAAGCACTCAGAAGTTGTTTAGAAATTACAATCAAGAAAATTTTTTAAAGATTTATTTATTTACTTGAAAGTCAGAGTTACACAGAGAGAGAAGGAGAGGCAGAGAGAGAGGTCTTCCATCTGTTGGTTCACTCCCTAGTTGGCCACAACGACCGGAACTGAGCTGATCCAAAGCCAGAAGCTTCTTATAGGTCTCCCACATGGGTGCAGGGGCCCAAGGTCACAGCAGAGAGCTGGATTGGAAGCGGAGCAGCTGGGACTCGAATCAGCGCCCATATGGGATGCCAGCACGGCAGTCGGCAGCTTTACCCACTATGCCACAGCGCTGGACCCAATCAAGCAATTTTTTAAACTGGTCTGCCCTGGGTTAGAATTGGGGGACAAAGCCATTTTTTTTCCTTTGACAGAGAACATTGGACTGTACTTTGTTCCTGTCACCCTAAAGGAACTAATATTCAGAAGAACCAAAAAAATCATATTTAAACAGCAAGTTAAAATGACTACACTATATTAACACACTTTTCTGAACTCAGCAAGATTTCCATTTTAATCTGTCACTTCCAATATTATAGCAGCATGTTTCAGCCCATTTAGGTTAAGTAGCTACAGCAATTTTGAAAGCACTAATGATTCATATATGACAACTGCAAATGCCCTAGGCAGAATCCAACCAGGGCATGGCTCTGAATCCACTGGCTCTCAGGTGGGCTTAAAGGTTCCACTTGTTTAGTGTTGGCAACATGCTGCAAGTGGCTCATGATAAATTCAGTCATTTTGTAGCTCATGGGAAAAATGATAACTTTGGCTCAGAGGTTTACGGGCTCAGGAGCTCCTCCCTCTGCCATAGGGAAGACCAGACACAGGATGTATGAGGCCAGTTCCCCACTGCTGCCTTCACGAGGGGTGGTCTCCATGGCAACATGGCCAGAACATCTCACTTTTATCAGTTGCACAGTTCTGAGGCAACAGACCTTTAGTCATTCAAATTTGGAGTAACATGTTTCATGCATGAATTACCAATCTCCTTAAAGCCAAGGCAAACATTATAGTATATCCTCTTTTTGTCTTCTTGGGCAACAGTAGCAGAAGTGATCTCTTTCACTTGTTCATGAAACCTAAATCTCAGAAATTATTTTTATTTATTTGTTGTCTCTTTTCATGATACTCAATGTATGACTGATTTCTACTGTGGGATAAACATGGATTCAGAGTCAGCTAGGTTTATTGAGCAGATACTATGCAGCAGTGTAGTGGGCACTGAGAGGGTAACTTACATGTTATAATATTTGTTGTAAAATGAATGAAAAAAACCATGAAATTATAGATTATCAAGGTCAGAAGGGCCTTGGGGGAATATCCTATGAAAGTCTCTCAATACATAAATGGAGAAATCAAGTCCCCAAAGTGGGAGTGATGTACCTTTGTGCCGGGTTGTGAACCCGGCTGCTTAGATCTAGTTCTCTCTGGATACACAGACCTCAGTCCACTCGAGGAGACAGCGCACACTTACTCATGAACTCTGGGTGGTTACAGAGCATTACTTCTCTGCTGTGTTGCATTGCATTTGGACATATTTTTCCTAGTGTTTGGCTGAATATAGTGCTTGGGATACTTCTCTGTGAGCCATTTAACAAGAAACACTACAAGGCATTTAAAATATGTTTATTGATACTTGTGCTTGAAAGACTTAAGTGAAAATATTTTAACCAACAGAACTTCAAAGAAGTAAGCAAGATTGAGGACTGTTTGAGGATGTCAGGAAAGCAGCAGGAAAATTCAATACAGAAGGATTAATTGTGATCAAAACATTCTTTGATGAGCGTGAAACCAGAAAGGAGGGAGTTAATTGGCTCTTGGATCCTGCTGCATACTTCTCCACTGTAGGGATATACTAGTCCAGGAGACATGGTTTTCCCATTCTCTGGTCTAGGCAACTTCTCACTTGGCCCTGGGCAATGCTGGAGACACACTGTTGAATTCTTCCTTGAACACTCTACAAGTTCTAAGTTGCACACTGACTGTTCTCTTCTTTGTGTTAGCATTCTTTTCTTTTTTCAGACAGAGATCAATATATCTGGGTTAATGTCAGTTTTTTGAGTTATAATGAAATGCCAGTCTTGTCTTCATGGAACCACCCCAATCAAACTTCCATAACTGTCCAATTACAAGCTCTCAGGGAACTGTTTTTGATTACTTATTGCTTCCAACATTTACTTATATCAATAAGTTTGTGAAAGAAACTTTCCCCATGTTCTTCAGGCACCTTACTTCATCTCTACATTTGGAAAAGCAAGTCTGCGACCAAACTGAAAGCCAGCGTGGGTCTGATAGACTCATATTCTTGTGTACAGCAGTAAAAAAAAATGCCCCTTTTTCTGCTTTAATGGCCATAAGGAGAAAAATGGAGAAAGAGATTGAGAAATAGAAAAATTGATTTGGGGACTGAGAGTTGTAAAAGATAAAGGATTCAGGAATAATGTTAAAGGAAAATAAGTGGTGTCTCTGATGAGTTAATCTGTCTGTCAGTTTCTCCTATGCTCTTTCATTATGAATGTGGTGCCAGCCTTATGATGGACTGGAACAAGATTCTGGATCCACACCTAATAAATATTGATTATTTTGCTGGGCGGGGCAAGAAAGGTTTGGAACATGAACTGCTGCCAAGGGAGAATCAGGTGAGTTGCCTCAGTGGAGAAATCATAGTATTTGACAGGCAGGGTGGAGAATGTCATAATTTTGTCAAGAGCCGGGTTTGTAGGAATGGTCATGATTTCCTACCACATTACATTTATCCAGTGATTATATTTTCTAATTCACTTACTCTTGTAAAATCTGAATCCCAGACAAAATTCTCCCCAATAAAGAGAAAAATGCAGTATCTGTGGAATGTATATAACAAGAGATGGGATGGGAAAGTTATTAGTTATTAAGAGGCCCTGTCCATTTTCAATTCTAATGAATCAATCTTGGAAATACATTTTTCTTTAAGTGAGCTTTGTTTTTTCCTTAATCCAGTTGACATACCAGGATACCCTGGTATATACTCCATATTTCCCTTTAATTGCACATTCTTCACCCCAGCTAATAATTCCAGTTAAGAAACTGGTTCCTTCCACTTCTGTCACATGGGGCCCTCCACTGTCTCCTTCACATGAATCTTTACCTCCCACATCAAAACCAGCACAGAACATGTTATTATAGATGGTGAATTTTGTGGACCGAAGGCATGTGGCTCGGTCCACAAATGGAACTCTAAGGTACTGAAGAATTGAAGCTTGTCTCCCTCTGTTGAAGACTCTGCCCCAGCCACTCACATAGCCAGATCCAAAGTTGAGGAAGATGTTTGTGTATTCTCTGTTGGCAATGCAAATAGGTGTTACATAGCTGTTTAGCGTTAAGGGTTTATCCAGTTCCAGAAGGGCAATGTCATGGTTGTACTTATTGATAGTTGCATTGTATTTGTGGTAAGGAATAATTCGAATCACATTTCGCTTTTGCTCTGTATTCTCAGTCTCCTGAATGTTATATTCACCTATAAAAGATAAATTTCATTTTCAATAACAGTCTTTCACATAATGAAACAGATTTTCCAAGTGTCCACTTGGCATCCCCAACCTAACAGCTTTCAAATGTTGAAGGTCTCAATATTACATTATGTTGATTTGGTTAAATGTAATGAGAGTCAGTGAGTATTTTTCACACCAAAGAACAACGTAGGGCCATCATGAAGACAGTTCCCTTCAAGCATACCGTTACAAGGTCTTACAATGGGGATAACGATTCCACTTGTCATGATATATCCTAGACTTTCCCAATTTTAAGTATTGGTTCAGTCACTAACTCAAATTTTGGATGAGGACTTACATAGGTCATTCCAGGCATCAGAGATACAAAGATGAGTGACATGACACTGGCTTTTGAGAAGGCTCAGCCTGGTTGGGGAAATAGCTTCTGCTTTTTGCCTGGCCCAGCCCTGGCTGTTATGGGCATTTGGGGAGTGAACCAAATAATTGTACCCTACTGAGATGAGTGTTAATATGAGTACTCTAAAAGAACAATGGGAGCTTGGAGGAAGGAGCAAGTTAAGTTTTGAAATCCTGGCCCCTCTATCATTGCCCAACTTATTGAGCAATGATCTTACTAAATCTTAGTAAAATATGATGCATCAATTATGTGGAGGATCTGGTGATGCTTCAGGTGATTACCCTTTTTGTTTCTTTACCTGCAACAACTGTAATATTATCATCCGGTTTGATACAGTGGGCTGCAGTTACGACCCATTTTTCATTAATGATAGAACCTCCACAGAACGCCTCAACTTTGCCATTCAGAAGGACCTGTGGGAACAAAATTAGGAAATCTTACTACATAATATATTTGATACAGAGCAAAATAAATATGTGTGCTCTATAAAGGAGGGGGCAACAAGTTGGTGTACAGGTTCTGGCAGAAGTGGAGTTTCTCTGGAAAGTATCAGCTTTGCAGGTGAATTAGCACTTCTGAGGCACACTCCAAAAGCATTTTTTCTGTGACTGTCTTGGGGAGAACAGACAATGATAACCACAAAGGAGAGCCTTTGTGGAGGCGAATCTGAGGAATGACTTCTTTTGGTGATGTGTGGCTCTTAGAGTCAGATTTTCTGATGGCACAAATTGCTTCGTGGGAATATGGCAAGTACATTAGGAAACACACTGACTTGACTCCTCGAGAAGAATGGTTATTATTGAGTCTCTTGTCCCTGTAAGAAGAGAGCTCTTTGCTGTAGGTCCATAGAGAAAGAGTAAAACTATTGATTTTTCTGGGAGTCTTTTCAAGCCCTTTCCAAACTGGAATTTGATGAAATGTGACCTGAGGCCTCCGTAAAGGCGTGTTTATAACCAGCCAGACAGTGAGGAACAAGTAGGACTCATGAGCTCTTCCCCTTTTCCCCTTAGTCATATTCCACTCCTCCCTGGTTGGATACATAACCTGCCTTAATCTAAAAAGGTCTACTTAGCTATACTTGATGTGGGGGCAAAGTGTACAAAGGTGTTTGGGTGCTGCGTTCAGCCTAGGGATGATTACATAAGCGGCCAATCCATTGTTTCCTCTTCTCATTGTATAATTACAGAAGACAATGACTATCTCAATATCTAGATCAGTTTTTGAGAATTTCAATTCCAACGTAAGCAGGGGCCTTGATCTCTTTTCATGAAGAACTCTGAGATGTGTGAACACTAGAGGGCGCACTCAACATTTGGTAAACACTGTTCCGGCGCAGACTGGCTCTGTGTGAACTCATGCCCCTTTCCTAAAACACATGTAGTCCTAGGCAGAAACCTGTTCATAAACAGAGAGGGAGTAGGGCTGTGTCCCAGATAATTCCTGGGGCATGTCTTTTTGTAGGTTCCTTTTGTCCAGAATTCATCTTACTGAACATCTATTTTGTCCTAGACACCAAAGCATTAGCTTCTTATTTGGAGACTGGAGACCTATTGGGCTGAGTACTCTGACTTCCTTCTCTATACTCTGGCCCTCGCTGTTTGTCTGGCTGTTACTTTTTATTTAGAAAAGTTTTTTAAAACATAGAAACATCCCTACATAATATAATAAACACACCCACATACTATAATAACCACCTAGACTTGAAAATCTTCCTAGTTTTAAACATTTATTGGATACTTATAATCTTTGTGCTTTATATATTTAATACTTAACATGTTATTTTTATAAAGTGATATTAATATACCCTTTCCTATAGAAATTCACATGAACTCTCCTAATGTTAGATAGTGGTGAAACTAGGAAGCAAATCCAAGTCTGTCTGACTCTTACATTTGTGCTCTTAAGTACCCAGTATTTCTTCAAGTGTTGTCTATGGGCCAATTGCAGTAGAATCATTCAGGCTGTTTATAGAATGCAGACTTTGGGGCTTATTCAGATTTAATTAATCAAAACATCTGGTGGGTACAACTGGAGAAAATGAAGCTGTCCAGAATATTCTGATACATAATTAAGTTTGATACATAATGAATCAGAATTTCCAAGGCTAGGCATTCTTTATGTTTTAAAAGTGCTCACTTCAGGGGCCAGTGCTGTGGTGTAGTGCTTTAAGCTGCCATATGAGCAGAGTCCTGGATGCTGCATTTCTGATCCAGCTCCCCACTAATGCAACTGAGAAAGCAGCAGAAGATGGCTCAAGTCCTGTGGGCCTTGGACCAATGAGGGAGACCTTGGTGGAGTTTCAGGCTCCTAGTTTTGGCCTGGCCCAGTCCAGGATGTTGTGACCATTTGGAGAGTGAACCAAATCACTCTCTCTCTCTCCCCACCCCATAATTCTACCTTTTAGATAACTAAATAAATCTTATAAAAATGCCCTAGACAGGGCTGTTAAACACTTTTAGGGACTCAGTGAAAAATGAAAATGCAGGAATCTTTGTTCAAATGCCAGGAAAATAGTGTCACCTATGATACCAAAATTCAGAACTTATCCACTTATTCCATGGTCTCCTCTTACAACTTATCACTTTTAAATATTTGGTACTTAATGCCGTGTTCCTTAGAGGATGGAGAGTTTGTTGGGAGAGTGCAGACCTTCAGAGGTGCCCAAAAGTTACACCCTATATTCAGTACACTCTGTGGACTCCCTGTCTGCCAACCACAGGATGCTGGGTCCCAACAGTGGAGGCTGACTCAATCATCCCTTGTCATGGCCTACTGCAGCAATCAAGGCAGACCTGGTCCCCAAAGGATGAGCTCATTTCCTAGAATGCAGGTGGGCAAGAGCCTCGTCCCCCACCATTCACTCTCTAAATGTGCTGTGCCACATTGCTGGTTTGACATGCCTGTGGCCATACCCCCTTCTGAGACAGCACAGCACTTGTGCATCTTACTTTAACCCTCACTGCACTTGTGCCCAGGCCCCTGCTTGGAGAGGAGTGTGGCAATGGTAGTTGGGTGTGAATCAGGAAGCAGCATGTGCCTATGCACTAGGGGTTTGGGATGGCTGTAGTTAGTAGGCAGATGTAGGGAGGAAGACACCGGGCTGGTTAAGGCACTAGATAGTAGGGGAGAAAGAGGTTGAGAAAGCACCCAGGGAGGTGATGAATTGTGGCTCTGCAGATATCAAAGCTTCCAAGTCCCCAGGCCAGGCTCAGGTTTCTCATTGTACTTCAGGTCCAGAACACACATGCAAGACATTAGTGCAGGACACTTTTCAGTGCAGAGTCCTGTGCAAGTGCATGGGTCACAAGACCACATGACTGACCCTGAGCCCAAGTGACTTTCATAACCAAGATAATTTGGGCAACATAGTTCTACACAAGTCCTGATGGTTCCAACAGCACACATCTGTTTAAGTAACTAGTATTAATAATTCAGATGCAATGGCAGAATGCTGCTTCTCCTATGCCTACTGTTTTTTTTTTTTTTGGTTGGGGGTGGTAACTGGACATTTCCCAGATTAGTGGGCTAGTTAGGACAAAGCAATGGTACCGTTGGCCTCTAAGCGCAGAGACTATGATGAGGCTTGTCTGACTCCTGCCAAAGAATTGTTGCTTGGAGCTTCTACTGCTTTCTGGTGAATGGCAGAGAAATACGGTTGTATTTTTTTAGGCCTGAAGAGGCTTATTGCCAATCCCTGATTGGTATTAGAAATTTTAGTAAACATCTTGCCAAAAAAGGCCTAAAATATATTTGTATTTAAAGATATTACAAATGAGTTGCTTTTGGAGTATTTGCTTGGCTAACCCTGGATTACAGTTACTTGAATATTCGCTATTTAGGGGATGAGCTATCTGCTTGGCCAAAGACAAGTTCTTGCAAGATATGACTTCAAAGAATGATGGGGAAAATGGAAAAGCAAATGTTCTGAGCAAGGCAGCTGAGTTTTAAACCACCAAATCCTTTCATGTTTGTCACAGCCTAACAGGAACATGTTTTCCCTCTTGCAAACATACACAGATACACACCAAACATATCTACATGCATCCACAAAATACACATTCACATATCTGTATTTATGTTCTTCACTGACAATGCCAACACATAGCAATAGCTGTTGACAGGTTGTTCTTTTCCCAACCTTTAAAACCCAACCTGGCCTTTCCCTGTGATTTCAATAAAACCCTTACTCTCTCTATTTATGCACTGCAGCTTTGCAATAACCAGTTTTCTATCTTTGCATGTTTACATTCTCATATACAAAGCAAAAACCATTCCTACATGATGTTCAACTTATTATGCTCTTAGCTGTTGTTTATGCAACCCTTAGTCTTAGGTTATTTTTCTGGGCACAGAGGGGGCATTCATTGAGTTTTCAGTGGTTAGCTAGTCATTGAAATATATAATGAACAAACAATTTTAGAGGATAATAATCCAAATGTTCTGGCCAAATTAGGTTTGTGGAGCCAAGTGAGATTGTATATGTCATGTTCTTATTGCTCTTAATTGGAATTTTATCATCTCAGCTAGGAATAATACAGGGTTACCTTGGCAAGTTTATGGTATTTCTGTAGACTTAAGACCTTCATGTAACATTTCCAGTCTTATAAAAAATAAAGTTTTGGTTTATACAGGGGGAATTTAAAAAGTTCTTTGAAAATGTAACTGAAAGATAAATTTGTTTTGGGCAAAATTTTTGAAATCCATACATAGGAAGTGTATTCAGAAAGTTCATGGAAAACTGTGCTATGAGAAAACTATGAGCGTTAAATTATTCTTTTCAGCAAAGGAAACCACTTATTTTTCAATTCCATTTTACTTTTGTCCATATGGTAATTTGGCATGCTGTCTGCCACTGAGTTGTATCTTAATTGAACAGAAAAGATTTGATCTGTGTAGTAAGCAGTACAGGTCAAGAGCTCAGGTACATTTCAGGATAGTTTCCCGCCAAAGCTGACAGAAGCTATTACTAGGGAAAAAGTTCATATCTTTTAAAGATTATTTTGACCAAGAATTAAATAAGTAATTGGCAGACTGCCTCTCTGGCCTTTTTTTCTGTAGGTTAAATCGGTTAAATATTGGCAAATGCAAATGAAACAAATATAAGGATAAGGAAAGCTTCACTGTTTGGGTTCCCTTGTATTTTCTTTTATCAATGTAGCAGAATGATCTTAAAATTATTAAATGTTGCATAAATAAACCTCATATAGAACTGAGGTCCATGATTAGAGAGAAAATAGGATGACCAAATTCTTCCTATAGGGGGCCAGACAGATTTTAACCTGAAGCACAAAAGGTGAGAAGTCATGGGGCCAGGTTGCAGATGCTCGCGATTCTCGAAAGCCAGGGTCACAGTTATGGAACAAAAACCAAATTAAACATTTAGAAAGTCAATGTATTGTGGTGTTCCCTCAGATTTCACCCTTTGAGCTGTTGATAAAAGCTACCTAGTAATACAGGTGTTGCCAATTCCCATTTTTAGCTTTTTTCAAAAGTTTTCAAGTCTTCCCTACGTAGCCGTCTGAAATTCAAATCTTGTTTTAGTTTCTGACAAACAAGCTCTAAAACAGAACAAGACAAAAACAAAACAAAACAAAACAACTCCGTTCTGCTCCCCTGGAGGGCACTAACTCCCTAGGCCACGCCCGCCTGGTGCTCTCCCCTTCCTTGCTTCTTTCCCCGAGTTCTCAAAGCGGTTTGAGGTTTGAGCCCACGCTGGGAATCCGGAGGAAAGTGTAGGAAGTATCTCCTGTGATTGGCCTCAGGCCCCGCCTGTCCCGCCCCTCCCCGCCTACAGCTCCGGTCTCAGGTTTTCTAAGGCTGAGACATGAAAGGCGAGGCAGGCTCCCATGAGACTTTGGTCTTGTTGGGGTCAGGGCCAGAGTGAGGCGAGTTACGCCCTTTGCCCTTTCCTCCAGCCCGGCAAGCTGAAGTGGAAACCCTAGAATAAGGTAAGAAAATACCGCGACCGTGGGCCGACAACGTGGAAGGTGAACGTCGTTCCCCATGGTCTCAAACACTGGGCTGGATCCCACCGGACACCCTCAACACGCTTCCTGGATGGAGCTATCCAGCCACTACTGTTAACAGCTCTGCCCAGTTAACAATTCACCAAACATTTTTTTCAAGCAGCGTTTCCTCTCCAAACCGCCCAGCTTAATAGCCAGCCCAGTGATTGGAAAGGCTTCTTAACCAGGGCCTGAAACAGCCTTCCTGCACCTTTCAGCCCTCAGTTCACGAAGAAAGAGTCGCCTACCCCTTTCAAACCCTGTGGCTCTTGGAAGTCACCTCACATAAACCTGTTCTTTAAGAATAGAAATGTTTAGTTCATGCAAACTGTTTTTTACTCCAAATGAAAGTGAACTTTCTGTTCTTTGTGGGATTTTTTTTTCACTCAAGTGTTGGCTTTAGCCCTCATTCCTACCAATCTGAAAGAGAATAGAATTCTGGATAGAGAAGCTTTTATGAAACATCAGCATTTTGAGACACAACTTTCTAGCAGGCATTGCTGAACAGTGTTTTTATACTTCAGAGCCACTATGTGACATTAGCCACAGAAACCCCAGCGATTGCTTGGTTTCTCTTGATTCCTTGGCCACAGCAGGTTTGTCCTAGTCTTGATTGCAATCAAATTTAGTGTTTCTGCCCTACAGATCAACCTAGAGGTGGTGGAAATGATTCATCCACAAATGAGAAGAGAGTCTGGTCTCTTTCATTTCCTGTTTCGTTTTTGTCTAAAAGTTACTTTTGTATACTCAATTCATCTCATTTTAAAAGCTAGTAACCTATTCTGAGAACCTGAGTGGAGGAGGGAGTGAAGACAGTTCTCTGGTGAGAAAGAAAACAATGCAAAGTAGTATGACAGAGTTTGTCTTCAGTATGCTAGAAAATAGCTCAGCTCCTCAACTTTGGAAAATAAAACTTTGTGCTTTGGACCTCTAGAGTCAGTAATCGTAGTTCATATGGATGAATAGGGAGTGAATGTGTGTGTGCTTACATGCACTCACATGTATGAGAGATTGTGCACATTCCAAATGATCTTAGCTAAGCTTGCCAGGAAAAAGAACACAAGTACGATAACTGCAAGTGTGCAGTGAGAGTGACACAGATAGACTGGAAATGATGTGTATCATTTGTGTCTTATTGAGCATCTGCAATCACCTAAGTTTTCTCTGTCTGCTAGGGTTACTAACTTTCTTTTAGGAATGACATGCATTGTTAAAGCACTGCCAAATATTTGGTTTAAAGAGGGTGGGAGGCAAAGAGATCATGTACATAAATTGAGACCCCTCTCCTACCTTTTCTTATCCCTCATTTAAGTGTATTTGCCATTTCATTTCTGGGATAACAAGGGGACAGTGCTAAGCCCACAATTCATGTATCCTTGAGTTAAAAAAAAAGGATTTCTTTTTTAGAGGAAGTCATCTTCTTAGCTATTAATACATCCCTGAGCTCCTGGATCTTTTGCTCTAAGCACTGCTTTGTGTTCCACAAACCAAAGAAAGGTAATTGTCATAAAGTAGGATCTTTTGTTGTAACCAGCTTATAAGTGAAAATACAGAACACAAATAACAAGATTAAATATAATGAGATATGTGATTGTTAAAGAGAATTGAAAGCATAATTAGGGTAGCTGTACCCAAGAAAAATTACTCAAGGAAACATTGATGGAAAATGTCAGTCTTACAAAGGGTTGTTGATGAGTAAATATAGATAAGTGAAAGAAATAGTTAATGGTGGATGAAGGAAGAAGTGCTGGTGGGATATGCTCAAGTAGGGATTGAAGGGATGTAAAGTGACATACAGTGTATTGTGTTGGCTGTAAGAGCCAACCAACATTGCTTTTTAAAGAAGGCAAAAGTAAAGGAAAGGAAAATACAAAACTTTGGTTGTGATGTTTGGCTACTCTTCTATACCATTCTCTACAATGTCTATTTGAGTCCTTCATGGCCCCTCCATCCCCAGATATATGTTCCATATCTTATATCCATCATAATGGAAAATGACAGGAATTATGAAGGAACCTGGATAGATACATAACTGATCTCAGAAAATTCCACTGTGACCTCAGGACATTCACCTGATCTTGTTACCCATTTGATGATTGCAGAGTCTGTAAAGTTGAGTCTCTTATGATGAAAATTCAAACCCCAGTAGAGAGAATACTTTGGAGTGAAGCATCCTTGAAATGACTACCAAATTAAGTTGCCCGGCAATATTATGAGCACTAATAGAAATTTCTGAATTGATGGAAGTGCTCTGCCCTGTCCAATACAGTATCCAGTAGCACGTGTGGCCATTATGCTGTGAACTGTGGCAGATGTGATTGAGGAATTGAATTTTTCATTATACTTAATTATAGTTAAGCTAAATTTCAGTGGTTATACATGGCTAGTGGCTACCTTATTGGACAGTACAGCATAATATAAAGACCTGCCTGGCTTCTTATTGGAAGAGGGGTCCTAGTTTCACAGATAGAATCACTTAGGCATTAACTGTGGGCTCAATTATAACCCAGGTTTTGCTAGAAGTGTGCTCTTGCTTGTAACATCAAAAATGTGCATAGATAATTCTGTACCTGTGGATGTCTGCAGACTACACTTGGAGGACTAGGTACCATGAATCCATGAGTATATTTTTTGTTTTGTTTTGGACCCTGACTTTTTTTTAACAGGTTTGTTTCTTTGGACCAGGGGTTTTCAAACTGGAGCATACATCAGAACCTCTTGGAGAGCTTGTTTGCCTGCAGAGTGCTAGGTTTCACTCCCAGAGATTCTGATTCAGTAGATCTGGAGTAAAGCATGAATATTTGCATTCCTGACAACTTCCAGGTGATGCTGATGCTGCCACATTGAAATGGACTTTTTGGATATGACTGTTGTTTTTAGCCCTTGTTTATACTGCTGTGGAACTATGGTCTTCCTGCTTTTTGCTTGTTGAATATTATGGTTGGTGATGTATTAAGCCTGTGATTATGGAGTGGATTGAAGGCATGCCTTTACAAAAATTGAAGAAAGAATTGAAAGGGGAGAGTATTGAAGAAGAGAGAGAAGAGAGGAGGGAATTATGGTTGTCTTCTTGGAACAGTACCTATGAAATACATGAAATCTGTTCTCTTTGTATTAATAAAAATTAAAAAGAACCACAGACACAAGTGTTGAATTATCACATCATATCTTACAAATATGTGCTATTAAAAGTTAAAAAGAAAAATAAAACCTTAGCTGTAGAACAAGCCCCTATCCCATATCCTGGTTCTGTGCACCTAGTTCTTGCCTTACTTCTGCCTACTCAAGTCTTTATGTCCTTTCAAAATACTTCAGCATCTCTGGAGCTATAGACTTTCTAACTTTTACCAGTTTTTCCAGGGACTGAAGCTGAAGTAGTACCCAGAACCCTAGCTCTTGTGACCTCACTTCCAACTCTCCCAATTGCTGACCAGCTGCTTGTCTGCAATCCTATGTTATTTTCTTTATGCCCAGTTCTTCTTAATTTCATATAAGATCTGTACCTGAATTTCTCTTTCACCAGCTGCACACTTGTGGAGGTGTTCTCATATTGTTTAGTGCTGAACTTTTCCTAAATACTTTTCTCACCTCATAGGGTTGTCTAGTGTCCTAGCCTCAGTCGCCCACCAGGCCTGTCCCTTGCCAGCTGAGCTCCAGTTTTGAGATACCATCAGCAGAGAGTACCTGCCACGGAAATTGACCCGGTTTTGCATTTTCTCCACCAACAATCCGAGTGAAGTCATCAGATGATTGGGCATCTTGAGTGACATTACCCCGAATGGTTTCAGCTTCAGTAAAATTTTCATACTCCGTATTGGAAAAAATTGTCGTAGCACGGGTGATTTTCTTAGAAGCATGTGAAACAGAAACTCTTCCACATGGAAATGGCACTGGAAAAGTAGAAAAATAGTTAGTATTCTGAGATTTCTCATTGGCAAGTAGAAGATGAGTTACAAAAATTGAGAATGAGACCCATCCTTATCACTTCTGAGAAGCAGAAGCAGACCCATAGATATATTTTTAAAATCTAATAAATAAATATTGTCTCAAATTAGAAGGTTGCTTGCATTTTTTTTGTGGAAAGTTTTCAAACCCTTCCTAAAAAGAACATTTGGCTCAGGGATCCATCATCTTTATGGAAATAGAGTAGGTGTTCCAGAATTAAATTGGGTAAGACTTTTATAGAGTATACTGACTTTCTGTTTAGTTTCTTTACTAAAACGTCTTACTCTTAAGTGCCATCCCTGAATGGAAATCTAACTTTGCAATTATGTAATTGGGAATTCTGCTCTTTATCATTAATAGGATTTCTTTTGTAGATTAGAATGCTTTCTAGATCCCAAGGTGGATTTTAGGAATTTGTTTGAAAGATATCATTATAATTCAATTACCTGGCTGTCAAATATTAACCAAATAGATTACTAAAGATTATCATAGCCACATATACTTGGTGTCTGGCCACCCTTTTCCACTGGGTTAATTTATTTTCTAAAAAAAATAAATCGTGTACTGATATGCTGGGGACAACCAGAATGGAAATTTGTAGTCAAACAAAGTCACCTAACATTTCATTTTCATTTCTGACTTTCCTTCTAGCCATGTTCCTTATAACAGGCATTTCTATAGCAACCAGCTGCGGCAAAGTATCATGAAGACAGCATGTGGTTGGGAAAACAGGAAATTAGTTCAAAATACTTATGTATAAATGTACATGATCAACAATGGGCTAGAGAAAAGGGACCGTTATTGAAAAGACAGAAAAGCTTATTTTATGTTTGGCCTACTTATTCTGTTAAAGCTAAGGCTGTATTCAAATATTACACTTAATAGTAGGAGATGGTTTTCAATTCTTTTTCTCTCTTACAACATAGAAGGGCTTGTAAGGGTTTAGTGTCTATACTATCTGTCTGGACTAGAAGTTGGACTTTCATGTTAAAGACACACACACTCCTTCTAAGAGAGGCTAGTTTTAAGGCATGTGAAAACAAATCAGAAGGAGAGGAAAGCAGGTTCTGAAACATTGGAGACTCTTCATTTTAGTTGCAGCATGTATGCACCGGGCTTCTGGTCCTTTCTTTAATATCTTCTGCCTGGTGCACTGTCAAGATATGCATTGAACCCAGTTTCAGAGGAATGGTGCATGATTTAATGTGCCAATTTAGTAAGATATCAGGCTTTGCTAATGCAAAAATTTATATCTAGTTAGCTTCAAAAAGTTCATTTATCAAATATAATTGATCCTGCAGAGTCCACTTTTTAAAAAATCAGTTTCTATTGCTTTTGTCTTCAGAAAAGAATAGTATGAGTGTGGGGTACCGAATATATAAATCTGCTGTCAACATGGTAGCATGGTTGACATGACTGGAAAACATTACTTTTTTCCCTGCTGTATGGATTGTGTTGATCAATCTAGAAAACTTGAAGAAGTTAGTTGCTAGAACCACTGAGACTAAGTGTGTAAACTTAGCTTGAGACCTAGGCGTAGGAAAAAACTTCCTAAAAGTAAACTAGCTTGGCCCTGTTAGAACCATGCTTAAAATTCACCATCCTTGTACTAGAAATCTATCACTATGTGTGTATCTTTGATGGTGTAGTAGTGCATTTTTACATTAGTTTGACTTAGTGAATTTTAAATACTTGTACAAAAATCAAACCAATTGCTTTGTGACATGAAAGAAAAAAATGGATGAAAATAAGAGTCTACACTGGAGATAATTACAGGATTTAAATTTAAAACAATGCAATTTGGAAACTCATTTGTATAATTCAGGCTACTGATCTTTTCATTGATATCAAGTGTAAGTAGACACAAGTAGAGATTAAAATTATGTAGGATACTTAAATTGTCGAAGGTCCAAATATAGATTTTCTTTAAAATACTTATTTTGATTTTGACCTGCTGGTTCACAAGACTTCTGGTTTTCCGCAAGTCGGTATCCCTCAGTACAGGAGCAGATAATCTTGTTATTACGATTCTTTCTACAAAACTGCTCACATCTGCCATTCTTAATGCTGCAAGTTGAATCTAAAAGAAAGTAACACAAAGAGTAATAACATCATGTAGCATTCATTTCAAACATGTACATGAAACTACTTATTCATGAATAGGTCAAGTGTACCCTGGGGGCATTTGTGGTGAAAAACTTGGAAGCCTTGAGCTAAGAGTGAAAAGAAATGTAAAATCCTTTCACTTTACTTTCACTGAATCATGACCTGCAATTAAACAACCTTATTGAAGTATAATACACATTCAGAAAAGTACATACTAAAGTTCCCATAAAGTAAATGTACCCATCTAGAAATTAAAAAGAATTATATGAAACATTATTAACATCCCAGAAGCTCTCCTAATGCCCCCTCCCAATCACTCTTCCCTTCTTCCTTTTCAAAGGTTACCATTAACTGGACTTCTGACACAGTGAACTGTTTTGCCATTCATGAACTCACAATAGATACTCCTCTGTCTTTCATTTCTCTTTTTGTCTTTAAGATTCATCCATGTTTTTGTATAACAGTAGTTCATTTACATTGCTGTGTAGTATTCCATTGTCTTAATATTAAAACATCAATCTATTTGGGACATTTCCATTTTTTTTGGAGCTTATGTATACTGTAATGAACATTCTTGTACATTATTTTTGGCAACGTAAGCATGCAGTTTTACTGGACTTACAAGCAAAATTATTCAACTTATGTTCAGGCCTAGTAGATACTGCCAAGCAATTTTCTAAAATGATTTTATAAATTAAAATTCCCACCATTAGTGTATGAGAGTTTCAGTTATTATATATATGTATTGCAAATAACTTCGTATATTTTGTGACTTGCCTTTTCTCTTTAAATAGTGTCTTTTACTGAAGAAAAGTTCTTGGTTTAAATATAGTCCAGTTTATTAATCTTTTTGTGGCAATTGCCTTTTGTATTGTTTAAGAGAATTTTACTTCCCTCAAGGTAAAAATATAAGGCTTTATTGTTTTATATATTTAAATCTTTAGTCCACTTGGGATTGATTTATGGTTTATAGTGTGAAGTAGGGGGCCAGATTCAGTTTTCTCCATATGAATATCTTATTGATATATCACTATATTTTTTTAAACTTTTGTTTAATGAATATAAATTTCCAAAGTACAGCTTATGGATTACAATGGCTTCCCCCTGCCCATAACTTCCCTCCCACCCGCAACCCTCCCCTTTCCTGCTCCCTCTCCCCTTCCATTCACATCAAGATTCATTTTCAATTCTCTTTATATGCAGAAGATCAGTTTAGTATATATTAAGTAAAGATTTCAACAGTTTGCACCCACATAGAAACACAAAGTGAAAAATACTGTTTGAGTACTAGTTATAGCATTAAATCACAATGTACAGCACATTAAGGACAGAGATCCTACATGAGGAGTAAGTGCACAGTGACTCCTGTTGTTGACTTAACAAATTGACACTCTTGTTTATGGCATCAGTAATCGCCCTAGGCTCTTGTCATGAGCTGCCAAGGCTATGGAAGCCCCCTGAGTTCGCCGACTCTGATCATATTTAGACAAGGTCGTAGTCAAAGTGGAAGTTCTCTCCTCCCTTCAGAGAAAGGTACTTCCTTCTTTGATGACCTGTTCTTTCCACTGGGATCTCACTCGCAGAGATCTTTCATTTAGGTGTTGTTGTTGTTGTTTTTTTTTTTTTGCCAGAGTGTCTTGGCTTTCCATGCCTAAAATACTCTCATGGGCTTTTCAGCCGGATCTGCATGCCTTAAGGGCCGATTCTGAGGCCAGAGTGCTGTTTAGGACATCTGCCATTCTATGAATCTGCTGTGTATCCCGCTTTCCATGTTGGATCGTTCTCTCCCTTTTTTGTTCTATCAGCTAGTATTTGCAGACACTATTCTTGTTTATGTGATCCCTTTGGCTCTTAGTCCTATCATTATGATCAATTGTGAACAGAAATTGATCACTGGGACTAGTGAGATGGCATTGGTACATGCCACCTTGATGGGATTGAATTGGAATCCCCTGGTATGTTTCTAACTCTACTGTTTGGGGCAAGTCAGCTTGAGCATGTCCTGAATTGCACATCTCTTCCCTCTCTTATTCCCCCTCTTATATTTAACAGCGATCACTTTTCAGTTAAGTTTCAACACTTAAGAATAACTGTGTATTGATTACAGTATTCAACCAAAAGTATTAAGTAGAACAAACAAAAAAAATACTAAGAGGGATAATGTATTAAGTTCATCAACAGTCAGGGCAAGGGCTGATCAAGTCACCATTTCTCATAGTGTTCATTTCACTTTAACAGGTTTCCTTTTTGGTGCTCGGTTAGTTGTCACCGATCAAGGAGAACATATGATATTTGTCCCTTTGGGACTGGCTTATTTCACTCAGCATAATGTTTTACAAATTCCTAACAGGGATCACTTTTCAATTAAAATTTAAACACCTAAGAATAATTGTGTGTTAATTACAGAGTTCAACCAATGGTACTAGAACAAAAAAAAAAATACTAAAATAGATAAAGTATTTTTTTTTTGACAGGCAGAGTGGACAGTGAGAGAGAGAAACAGAGAGAAAGGTCTTCCTTTGCCGTTGGTTTACCCTCCAATGGCTGCCGTGACCGGTGCGCTGCGGCCAGCGCACGGCGCTGATCCGATGGCAGGAGCCAGGTACTTATCCTGGTCTTCCATGGGGTGCAGGGCCCAAGGACTTGGGCCATCCTCCACTGTACTCCCAGGCCACATCAGAGAGCTGGCCTGGAAGAAGGGCAACCGGGACAGAATCCTGCACCCCGACCAGGACTAGAACCCGGTGTGCCGGCGCCGCAAGGGGGAGGATTAGCCTAGTGAGCCGTGGCACCGGCATGGATAAAGTATTACATTGTACATCAGCAGTCAGGACAAGAGCTGATCACGTCACTGTTTCTCATAGTGTCCATTTCACTTCAACAAGTTTCCCCTTTGGTGCTCAGTTAGTTGTCGCCAATCAGGGAGAACATATGATACATCAGTATATATATATATATATATATATAAAAACAACCATTCCCTACTCTACAGCAGTGGCACTTCTATCATAAATCAAACCTCCATACAAGAGCAGGTATGTTTCTAAACTCTATTGAGTTCCATTGCTCAAATTGTCTATCTTTGTGCCAATACCATACTCTCTTAATTAATATTTGTCTATAATAAGTCTTGATATTTGGTAGTGTAAATACCCGAATTTTATTGCTTTTTTTCTCAAAAATATATTGGCTATCTTTGGCCTTTTGCATTTCACTATACATACATTTAAGAATTAGCTTATCAATCCTTCCCCATCACTAAAAATAATCTATCAGAGCTTTTGAGTCATGTTGCATTGAATCTATTGAGAGAGTTGTTTTTATTATATTGTATCTATTACTCCATGAACATGGCCTATCCATTTATTTATGTCTTCCTTAATTCTTCCCCATCATGTTTCATAAATTTTTTTAGAGTTCTTCCACATCTTGTTTCCTTTTATTTCCAAGCACTTTAAAAATTTCTATGATTGGCAGAGAGAAAGCACTCCCATTCACTGGCTCACTTCCCAAATGTCCATAGTTCTTGGCCAGGGCTTGAGAGCCAGGCTGGGCCAAAGCCAGGAGCAAGGAACTCAATCCAGGCATCCCACATGAGTGGCAGGGACTCAAATATTGAATCATCAATGCTGCCTCCCAAGGTCCATGTTGGCAAAAAGCTGGAGTCAGAACTGAGTATCAGTGTGGGATATGGCTATTGTAATTGGCGTCTGAACTGCTAGACTGTGTGATCTCCCACTTTTAATTTTTATGCTATTATAAAAATAACTTTCTAATTGTTAATACATAGACATGTAATTGATGTTTGTATATTGACTTTGTACTTGTTTACTGTAATTGTTCAGGTGCTTTGGGTTTTCTATCTGTATAATCATCTTTCTGAAAGTTATAGTTTCACTTATATCTTTCAATGAATAAGAAAATAACAACAATTACATAATCTCATGTAGACATTGCCTCTCTGCACTGAAGTGTGGTCTCTATACTTAGTATACTAGAAGTTACTTGAGTTCCAGAGGTAGACAGTTTAACAAGTTACCTCCAGAAGTAAAATCTGGAGATCCCTAGAAGTTTCAGTTTTGGGGAGGTCTACTGGGGCCAAAAAGCAAATTGGAGTTAGCAAAAGTGGATATCAAACATGAGAGTATAAAACAGCATCCTTTAAGTTGACTAGAATGCAAAGACAGTATGTATTGATGGTGCTAAGCATTCCAGTGGCCCACATTTTCTTTACTATGCAGTCTCTGTTATTAATATAAAATACATATCTTTGTATCTTACAAAATTTTTCTTTTTTTTCAAAAAGATTTATTTGAAAGGCAGAGAGAGAGAGAGAGAGAGACACACACAGAGAGAATGAATGAATGAATGAATCTTCCATCAGCTAATTCACTCCTTTACTCCCGAAATGGCTGCAACAGCCAGGACTGGGGCGTGCTGATGCCAAGAGCTACTTACCCCATCCTGGTCTTCCATATGGGTGGCAGAGACCCCAGTACTTGAATTATTATCCATTGCTTTCCTAGGCTCAATAGCAGGAATTTGGATCAGAAGTGGAGCAGCCAGGACTCAAACAAGGACTCTGCATGGGATGCTGGCATTGCAAGCAACAGCTTAACCTGCTACGCTACAAGCTGGCCCCTCTTGTAAAATTTTTCATTTTGGATTCCATTTTGTCTGATTTTCAGATTGCTTTGCCCATGTCTTTTTGTTTACCTGGTAGTTCTTTTTACATTCCTTTATTTTAGCCTCCTTGTGTGATTTTATTTTAGACATCTCTTTTGTCCACATACACAATTAGAATTTTAACTCCAAAATGAAAATATTATTAATATATTAGTTTAATCCAAATTCACTGACATACTTGGCTTATTCCTGCCATTTTATTTTGTGTTTTCTAATTACTGTGCTTTCCTTTTGTTTCTTCTTTGCAGTCTCAATAATAGGAAGTAACATAGTTCAGGGTGTACTCTCTGAGACCTACTGAGTTAAGAGAAATAGGCTCAGTCGTTGGGCCTATTTCTGTCCCTAGGACAGCACAGGAACACAATGAATTTAAGATGCCTTCCCTTCTAACTACATGTTCAACCAGCGTACCCCTTTCAATAGAAATGCTCAATTGTGAGTACAATTATAACATGGAAAGTGTGAAAATGAATGACAGTGTATTAGGTATCTCCTATGCACCACTTTTGTTCCTCTTAGCCTCACTTGTGTTTTTTTTTTTTTTTTAGACTCTATAGTAATTAGCTCTAGGTGGACTTCAATGAACTGCATAGAAGTATAACCTTGAATTGTTTTGGCTTGTATCTGCACTGGGCATCTCTCACCTCTTGCCTCCGGGCTTCCCTGTTGATGCTTAGGCACAAGATGCCATATGACTCTCTGGGTGCTAGCATGCCCAGCTGGGAAATGTGGGAGAGTTAATGTCCCATTGGCTAAAACTTTAACTAATGGGAGACAGATTTCAGTGGACACATTTTTAAATCATCTTTTTAGGTAGACTATCTGGAGGCCAGTTCATATAGATTATTGGAGACAGTCCCAAGAGATCTAGCAATTAGTTACAGTTATGAGCAAGTGATTTTGTAACTCTTCTTATTGGTTCTCTTTTCCCCACTGTTTCAGCTTCCTGTCCATTACCCTTCTCCCCAAGGACTGCACACCATAATAAACAAGCTTGTGCCACATGCTGTTTTTGTTTTTCTAGGAGGAACACGGGATAACAGAGTGACCATGTAGTTTTGGAGTATCATGATTTTTTGAGTGACAAATCTAAAATTTTAAACTCTATATATACTAACATAGGTTAATGTAATAATTAGCTCATAGTCCTTATTGATACTTCAGTAGATAAGGTAAGATAAATCAACCGTTGCCAGCCTGACCTGTAAACTTTGTTGCCTATAATCCACTAAGTGCCTGGTCTCAGAAGATGACACTTGGTCCATATTTTTAAAAACTTTTTCTTTTTATTTATTTCTTTATTTTTGACAGGCAGAGTGGACAGAAAGAGAGAGAGAGAGAGAGAGAGAGAGAAAGGTCTTCCTTTACCGTTGGTTCACCCTCAAATGGCCACTGCGGCTGGCACACTGCGGCTGGTGCACCGCGCTGATCCGATGGCAGGAGCCAGGTATTTCTCCTGGTCTCCCATGCGGGTGCAGGGCCCAAGTACTTGGGCCATCCTCCACTGCACTCCCGGGCCACAGCAGAGAGCTGGCCTGGAAGAGGGGCAACTGGGACAGAATCCGGCGCCCCGACCGGGACTAGAACCTGGTGTGCCGGTGCCGCAGGTGGAAGGTTAGCCTATTGAGCCACGGCGCTGGCTAATAACTTTTTCTTTACTAATGGTGATAAAATTCCTGGTTATTTTCATGTTACTACCTATCTTTCTGTTACTACCAAGCAATACTTAAGTGTTTAGCCAAATCACATATCACCTGTAGACACTGTTCAGTAAATATGAGACTTGGCTAAGTTAACACAGGGAGGAGGTTGGTAACAGTTTGGTTTTGTCCAACACACTTACAAGGGAATAAGTAAACTCAGTGTGGTTTTTCCAGTTCTGATTCCATGTCCTTGGTTGAGAAACCAGTCCTCTATATCATTTTCCTCATTAGTCATTGTCCCTTTTAGCCTAGTGCTGGTACTGTTTCTCTCTGATTTTTTTTGTGCATGTGGTGGGAAGTATTTCTTCCTAAACAGCAGTCTTTTGCCCTCAGGAAAAAAGACTCAAAATTCTAGAAATAGAAACAGTACAAGGAATTTCAGGGAATAGGTCAGTAGAGTAGGACCTAAGGATCAATTATTAAACACTTAGATACCAGGCAGTGCATTTGGTATGGGTTATTTCTGGTGCTGAGTCTTGTCTCAGCACCTAGAATATCTGTTGAAGATCATCTGGAAGCAACTGTTCCTCCATGTTAGCACACACTACTTCTAATTCCCTTCATACCACCTTAAAAAAGTTACACGTTCTGTTTTATTTTACTCTGCCTTCATCTTCCCAGATACATCCACTGATGTGCCAACCTATATCTATTTAACAAAAGATACTCAAGCTTATCGCACAGTAGTTTGTTATATAGCTAAGCTCAACATTTTATCCCCCCCCCCAACAGAAATACACAAATTAAGGTAGTAATGTCTGTGACATGCTACAAAAATGAAAACAAATGTTTACTTGCTTGTGATTTACTTTTTCTTTCAATCCTATTCTATAATGGGAAAATGCCTCTGGTACTCTTAAGAAGGAATGGGAATGATTACATTTTTACAGATCTGGATTTATATGTGATCTCCATTTTCTATGCCACTGGGGACATATGGAGTTCTTTATTCTAGGAAAAGTGACCAGTAGCTAGTTAATTGCTATTCTTCTAGCTAGAAATCATGCCTTGTTTGCAGCTCTCTCTTGATGAAGACCCTGATAAACAAGAGAAAAAGAAAACAACTAAGTCTTAATGGAAATCTTTCCTTTTTAAGCTAGGGTAAGGCAAGAGAGTTGGCTCCCAGATACTCTACAAATTGTACTATCTAGTAACTTTTGAGATTAGTCTTTAATTCAGTTTGAAGCAACAAGCTTAAATGGGAGTTCATATATGCTCTTATTGTTGCTTTCTTCTAGTATCTTCTAGAACTTTTTGAATTTCCATTTTGTTTCTCAAGCAAATAAACTGAACAGATTTGTCTAAACCTTGATCAGATTGGCCAGGTGAGATCAATATACCCCAGAGGGCAGATGTGTGGTGACTGCAGTTCAACTGGAGAGGCCTAATCAAACTGAGATGTGGGGCCCTGATATGATTGAGATGGTACCAGTTGTAGATTTAGCATTTTTGCTCTATTGACCATCATCTCACAAGTGGAGTAACTTGGTTAGAGAAACTTTGTACTTATATATACATTTCTCAGGGCTATTCTCTTTCTCCTTTCAAATTTCCTTTTAAGCTAGACAAAGACATTTATTCAATTAAACCTTACTATAATGTACCCTTCAGTCTTAACTGAGACTAATTGTGTTACTTATGCCCTCAATTCTACTAGCTATATTATTTAAGCTGATAATGAGTAACCACTCCCAGGATTTCTGTAGGTTTCTATAATAGCTGGATCAAATTTATCTAGGTAAATTTGAATTGAAAATTATAGCCTTTCAGATGAAAGTAGCACTTCAGAGATGTTGAACTAATAAACACACCCACAGGAAAGGTAACCCAGGCACTGGTTTGTCCCCACACTGGGAAGCATAAGGGAATAGGAGTGCAAGCAAGGTGTATTATTTAATCTACCAGCGTACACTCTTTTCTTTCTTTTTAAAATGCTTTTATCCTGTCTCCTTTTCTTTTTTTATCTTCTAAGGTGGTTTAGATCTCAAATGAAGATCAATGCATTTCTTTTCAGTACTGAAAGGATTTCTGAACAATATTATAGGTGACTTTCTTTCTCTTTCTCAATATGACAAGTGCAGCAGCTACATTTATTTCATTTTATGCCTTTTTCTTCTGTCAGATGGATAGCTTCAATGCTTTAATAGTGTCCTGCTAATTTTCCACTCTTTGTCCTTATTCATGTAGTCTATGGTGTTAAATTCTTTCCCTAGGATTATATCTCTATTTTCCTGAAATTTCAGAGTAGAAAGAGAACCCCTCAATAATTTTGTGTGTTGCTTAGAGTCAAAACACCAGCAATATTGCACCCAGAGGTAACAATCAAGTAGGCAAGTAGGTAAAGGATTTTAGGTTTATTGCTCTAATTAGCAAAACCTCAGAAAAAGTATTCTAGGGTATGAGATGGTACACAGTGATACTAGAGTTGCTATGTAGCCCCTCTGATGTAGCCAATATAGTCAAGTTGAGGAAAGAGCTCTGATTTTTGTACATAAATTTAATGTGAAGCAGTTTGCATGTGTGAAGAAGTTCCTATTATATGGGATAATTGGCCTGTCATAGCTCAGTTCTATACTTGACTTCCACTGCCTATATTGACAGCAAATGAGCCATTAGTTCAAACAATTTTATGGGCTCAGTTTTCTCTGACTTTTGAATATTGTAGTTACAAGCATGGGTCTTTATAAAATTGAAATTTGAGTCTTGATTCAACTATCTATATGCCTTTCATTTTAAGCTGTTGCAGGTTCAGGTTTCTCATCTGCATAGGGTGGGGATAATAAATAAAGTAAGTGGAACATAATTACCACTTTATATTAGTTACCAAATATTGTTTTAGCTCTGAATATGATTTCTTGAACTGATAAGATGAAAGCTGTGACTAGAGATGAAGTGAATATTTATAAGCTTTGAAAGTATGTTTTTAAGAGAAACTTATGATACATAAATATTGCATTTTCCAGTTTTATCTGGCTTCAAAGGGAAACTTTGAACCACAAGTAATTAAAAAATAATCACTTACCTAATTCACAGTTCTTTCCTTCAAATCCATATTGACACCAACATTCATATGCATTAATGTCATCCTTGCAACTGCCACCATTTAAACATGGATTGGACTCACACTGATCTCCATCTTTGAGATAAGTTAAGAAATTAAGTTAACAGATAAGTTTCTCAGAATGCCCATCATCCCTTACATAGACTTACTGAGATACGAGTCTGACTCTTTAGTCAGATTAGAACTGTTAGCTTGGAAGCCAGCTGCCTGTAGGCAAATCATGCTCCTGTGTTCCTGAGTTTCTAAAAGTCACCCAAGCAAAGGATCTCATAACAAAGGATCTTTCTAACACTGTTCTAGAAAATTGTTCAGAGGGAGACATGTACATGGTTTATGCAATCCAAGGGAAGAGAAAGAATATCTTGTGTAGAAATGTGCTGTATTGGTACAAGAAGGATTTTCTTTTTTTAACTTTTATTTAATAATTATACATTTCCAAAGTACAACTTACAGATTACAATGCTTTTTCCCCCCATAACTTCCCTCCCACCCGCAACCCTCCCATCTCCTGCTCCCTCTACCATTCCATTCCCATCAAGATTCATTTTCAATTCTCTTTATATACAGAAGATCAATTTAGTATATATTAAGTAAAGATTTCAACAGTTTGCACCCACAAAGAAACACAAAGTGTAAAAATACTGTTTGAGTACTAGTTATAGGATTAATTCACATTGTACAACACATTAAAGACAGAGATCCTACATGAGGAGTAAGTGCACAATGACTCCTGTTGTTGACTTAACAAATTGACACTCTTGTTTATGGCATCAGTAATCACCCTAGGCTCCTGTCATGAGTTTCCTAGGCTATGGAAGCCTTTTGAGTTTGCCTACTCCGATCTTATTTATTTAGACAAAATCATAGTCAAAGTGGAAGTTCTCTCCTCCCTTCAGAGAAAGGTACCTCCTTCTTTGATGGCCCATTCTTTCCACTGGGATCTCACTCACAGAGAACTTTCATTTAGGTCCTCTTTTTTTTTGCCAGTGTCTTGGCTTTCCATGCCTAAAATACTCTCATGGGCTCTTCAGCCAGATTCAAATGCCTTAAGGGCTGATTCTGAGGCCAGAGTGCTGTTTAGGACATCTGCTATTCTATGAGTCTGCTGTGTATCCTGCTTCCCATGATGGATCGTTCTCTCCCCTTTTTATTCTATCAGTTAGTATTAGCAGACACTAGTCTTGTTTGTGTGATCCCTTTGACTCTGAGACCTATCATTATGATCAATTGTGAACAGAAATTGATCACTGGGACTAGTGAGATGGCATTGGTACATGCCACCTTGATGGGATTCAATTGGAATACCCTGGCACGTTTCTAACTCTGCCATTTGGGGCAAGTCAGATTGAGCATGTCCCAAACTGTACATCTCCTCCCTCTTCAATCCTTCCTTATAGAATGATGACAGAGTTAATTCTAAACCAAATAAAGTCACTTCAACAAGTGTTACCTCTATGTCATACAAGACCTACTTCATTGTAAGTTTGCAGAGTAAAATGGACTAGGTGATAGTATGTTGCCTTGTCTCAAGGAACTGATGGCATAGGCCTGGAGTAAATGCATATACTCCTTTGTATTGTCATTTAACTTTTAAGTATCCCATGTAGTGACATTCCAAGGCAGTAGATAATGTGCCAGAAGTATATTTTACTGCTTCAAGGTAATGTATCTACCAGCTAGATTCCAAATAGTCTAAGTAAAGTAAAAAATGTTTAATATATAATAAATAATTTGTGCAGTATGTTTTATTTATATATGGTTAGGCTGTATTTCCATTTTATTATTCCGAATTTCTACATTTACAGAGTTGCTGAAATCATTTGAAGACATTAGTGGCATGAAAATGAGGAAGGAATAGCCAAGTGCAGATGGGTCTGCCTGAGACTGGAACCGTTAAGTCTAGTTTCTTAGCACTCTGCATCAATTCATACTTCTTAGGAAGCTCCAAAAGAAAAGAAGGAATAGAATCAGCAGGGAGAATGGTTCAGATTTTGAAATAAGGATAATAGCCCTGAGGGAAAAATGGGAGCTAAATTAGTAAGAATATATAAAAACAAAATGTAAAATATAAGGATAACCATAAGAATCCAAGAATGAGAAAAATGGGGAGGGAAATCAATGAGAAATATCAAATTATCAATCATACTTTAGAGGAAAGTCCCCTGACATCTAGTGTGTGGATTCCTGCTTGTTTCTCCCTTGTCTGTCAGAAGCATGTATCCAGATTCCATTGACTAAGGGACTAATATCTCTTTCGCTGGAAAAATCTGCTTGCTGTAAAAATTAGACCTTGTATCCTCTGTTCCTTGATCCAATGTGCTTTTACACAGGTCCTTCAATTTGTTTCAATTCTATGAAAAAAAATGCAATATCTTTGGTATGCTATTATCAATGTTCAGGACTAGTCTAAAAAATAAGCTACATTTGTACTTTATATTATAGACCAACAAATCTGAATTATTTAGGATGTTTAACTGAAAAGGTCTGGGCTTCCAGCCAGCTACACAGGACCTCATTTGCTCTGACATATCTTTAAAATGAGTGTCATTTTATCCCGTGTTTAGTCCTTTGGGTTCTTGTCTGTGTGTACTTTGGGTTGAGGCAAAGCCATAGACAGTAGCAGTCAAAGACAACAAGAGACAAGACCTTGCCAAGTGAGAGATTCCTGTTAAATGAATAACTGCTTTTAGATTTGAAGACCATGGGGGTAAATAATGAAAGCAAGGAGTTGTGCATTAGAGAGTTGAGGTTCGCTTCTGGGCTTCAGAACTCCCTAACTGGTTGACCTTTGGCAAGTTTCCTCCCATGTAAAATGGAATTAATAATACTTTGCTCACAGGGGTAGTGTAAGGGTTATATGTATTAGGTATTCTATAAACTGTAAAGTGCTTGACAGATGCTAGTTAGCATGTTTTGTGATAGTTCTTCAGCTAAGCTTAAATGGTAAGTTGATGGTAGAGAAGGGGACAGCAATGAGGAGCCTGGACCTGGGTTCTTATTTGTTAGAGACAGCTACTTTTGTGGTAGTTAGGAATCTCCACTGCAAGTGAAAAGAGCCATGGAATTTATTTCTGTTTCAGTTATTACTTTTGTTGCTTTATTTTTTGTTGTACAAAGCAGTAGTGACATAATCATGGTCCTGATGCTTTCCAAGTATCTATACCCAAGGTATAGAAAATAATGTACTTGTGTGACCTAGAAGGCAGGAGCCCAACTAAAACTATACTGCTGGGGCTGTAGTTTAGGGAGTGGACAATAAAGGGAAGGAACATGGAAGTTTAAATATAATCAGGACTTTTGTGTTTTTTTTTTTTTTGAAAATTACATACTGATTTTCTTTTCAAAAGAAGTCATGAGATTCAAAGTGTTAAATTCAAGAAGAATAGAGAATAAAAAGATTTGGAGTATAGGAGGGTAGCCCAGTAGAAATAGGCATGGTAGCACTCATCACTATGGGTAAGGAAAGGTAGATAAAGCAATATAACAGAGAAAACTTTTTTCTCTTGACTTAGAAAAAAAAGTGGAAGAATTATGAGTTCTGAGAATATCTAGTAGTATATACAGAACAGGAAATAAGGAAATAGAATTGGGTCTCAAATTGATGGGACTCCATGGATTTGTTGTCCAGGTTAATTTGTTCCCAGTCATGCAGATGGTTTGGGTAAGTCAGCCTGTAAAATTTACACTCCCTCAAATCCTACTTCTGGATTTTAAGTAAGATTTAAAATTAGTTGTCACTAAAGTTTTGGCTTTTTCTTCTTTACATCATTTTATGGAACCAATATTGACTGAGTGCCTCTGTTTCATATATTGTTCTAGGTGCTGAAAATAAATCATTAAACAAAATGAATACTCCTGTCAACATGAAGCTTGGATTCTAGTGAGTTGGGAAAATAAATACCAAGTAGTATAAGAAAATGGTAGAATATATTATATGGTGGAAAGCCCTCTAATCTGAAAATCTACAAAATCTGAGACTTTTGGAATGTTGACATAATGCAATAAATGGAAAGCTTCCTATTGTGAAACTTTGTTTAATGAACAAAATTATTTAAAAATATTTTGATAAATTACCTTCAGGTTATGTACATATGAAACATAAAAGAATTTTATATTCAGATGTGGGTCCTATCCCTGAGATATCCCATTAAGTCTATGCAGATATTCCAAAATATGAAAAAAGTCTCAAACAGTTCTGATCCCAAGCATTCTGGGTAAGGGATACATAACCTGCATTTGTAAAGAGCAAAATACTTCAGAGTTTGGAGTAGTGGGGCCTAGGGGACAGGTTGAAATATTAATAGATGTGTCTGTGTGGGTGCAAACTGTTGAAATCTTTACTTAGTATATACTAAGTTGATCCTCTGTATATAAAGATAATTGAAAATGAATCTTGATGAAGAATGGTGTGGGAGAGGGAGTAGGAGATGGGATAGTTGCGGGTGGGAGGGTGGTTATGGGGGGGAAAGCAGCTATAATCTAAAAGTTGTACTTTCAAAATTTATATTTATTAAATGAAAGTTAAAAAAAGAAATAAAAACACAAAAAAGAACGTGGGTATACTGATTTAAAAAAAGAAATATTAATAGATGATCAAGGTAGGCCTCACTGAGATTGGTATCATTTGGGCAAAGAAGAACTGAAGGAGGTGAGGGAGTGAGCCAGCAGAAGCTGGAAATAGCCAGTTAATAGGAACATTTAGATAGTCTCTAAAATGCAAGTATTCCTGGTGTTGGCAAGGAACAGAAGGAAAGCTGGGATGGCTAGAGCCAAGTGTGTAAGGAGAGCAAAAGAAGAGATCAGAAAGACAACAGGAAGGAGGGGGGACAGGTGATCATGGCCTTGAAGGACATCATTAAGCAGGAGGACTTTTAAACAAGAAACATTTAAGGCAATCAGCATTTCCTGATTGTTTATAGAGGATTGCAAATTGTCATTCAGTCCAAAGATGCAATCATTTCACTTTCTTCCTTCCAGCTTTCTAGGGTGGAACAATGTTCTTTGTGAAGTCCTAGGGAGGAGTGAACTTATCTGCCAGCTGATACTTATCAAGCTGGCAAAAACTTGTACTCTATTACCACTTAATCTTGAGTTAAAGGGTTGGACTGAATATCCTGAGTCCTTTTGACAGTTTAATATATTATTTATTTGTACAAAGAAAAAAAAAAGAGTTCTTGAATATGTTGTATATCAGCCAGAGGATAAAATGAATTGCTTACCAACATACTGCTTCCAAAATTCAGTCTATAAAGGGAAAAAAAGAATATAAGTCAATGGTAGAATTTAAAGTGTTTTGTTATTGATTCCTTTTCCTTTGTAACATCTATATGTAAGGCTATTTTAAAAACCCAAAGAGAAGTATCTTTTTCTTTCAAGTTTTTTTTTTTTTTTTTTTGAAAATTATGTGGAGGGGCTGGCGCCGTGGCTCACTTGGCTAATCCTCCGCCTGTGGCGCCGGCATCCCATATGGGCACCGAGTTCTAGTCCCGGTTGCTCCCCTTCCAGTCCAGCTCTCTGCTGTGGCCTGGGAAGGCAGTGGAGGATGGGCCAAGTTGCTTGGGCCCCTGCACCCGCATGGGAGACCAGGAGGAAACACCTGGCTCCTGGCTTCGGATCGGCGTAACTCTAGCTATAGAGGCCATTGTGGGGGTGAACCAACGGAAGGAAGACCTTTCTCTCTGTGCTCTCTGTCTCACTCTCTGTCTGTAACTCTACCTGTCAAAATAAAAAAAAAAGTTATTATGTGGAAATACTCACAGTTTTTTCAGTGTTTTCAAAAACTTCTCGAGCTTCTTCAAAACTACACCTTTCTTCTATACATTCTCTCTCAAGGTTCCCTGAAACAAACTCTTCCAGTTTACCTGAATTGTACCTCTTTGCCCGATTCAGAATTTTGGTGGCATTTTCATGATCAAGAAAAACTGAAATTTAAAAGAAGTATTCTTTAGCTTTAGAAAAAAGAAAACATCATGAAAATTGAATACATCTCTTAAGAAAGACTTTGTTTTTAATCCAACTAATCCCAAAGCCAATTTCTCTTTGGGGCATGGAGCCAAAAATCAGCGATGTTCCCACTGCACTGTATACACATTCAGATTTAGGAATTAAAATTCAATTTTACTGTTTTAGTCAAAGAGCTCCATTAATAAAGGGTCACGTTTTCCATCATATTTGAATTTACTTGGATGAAAAAGAAAGTTCTTAAATAAGCAGTTAACTTCACACTCTGTCATCACTTGAAAATAGCTCATTGCAGATCCTTGCAAGGTGATCCGTTACCCTCACTGGGCTGTATTTCAGGATGCAGTTGCCTAAATGACTTTGCAATGAATGTGTCCTGAAGAATATAGAAGCCTAACTGTGGCCCAGCTATAAGTTAGACCTTGGTGTCTCTCATTAGGTTTTAATGAAAAACCACTGCATTATTATTAGTTCATTTTCAGATACACACCACCTTCATTTGGCATGTGTTACAGGAATTCCTGTGATATAAGCACTTCTCTGGAATTCAGGACATGGTTTATTTTTGCCAAGACTGTCTAATCTGTAGGGATATTATTGAACTTTGATAGATTGAGAATCAAATGTCCTCCCTCTTTCTTCCTTGCCTGTTTCTCTGCTTCTGTCTGCACACACATATGTGAATGTATAAAGGAATATATGTTTGTATATACAGGCAACTCTTGGTAACCATGGGCAATTCCCGAACTCCTCTAAGGATTCAAAACCCATGGATTCTCAAGTCCCTTACATAAAATGATATAGTACTATATTTTCATATTACTTACGCATACTCTCCAATCTACTTTAACTGATCTCTAGAAATACTTTTAACATTACTACAATGTAAATGTTATATAAATTAGTTTTTATGTTCTGTTATTCATGAAATAATGACAAGAAAAATGATTGGTACATGTCAAGTAATGAGACAGATTTTTTTTTGAAATTTTTGATCCACAGCAGATCAAATACATATAATTAATAAGAGATACTCAAGAAGTTGACTGGAGTTGGTTTTTTCAAGAGACCAGCAATGTATCTGATACTATCTCAATAGGACCAAGTGCTTATAAGATAAACTTTCCAAGGCATTGGGACTATTTTCTCTTTAGCTCAAAAAAATTCCAGAAATAAACTAAATTTTCTTCCCTTATTTTCATTGTAGCTGTTCACTTTATGGATAATTCTAGTCCCTTGACATCCTTGCTTATCTCTTGCTCTGCACATCTCCTTTGGGTTTGCCTTTACTTTCTGCATTTAGCTTAGAATTTTTCTTTTCTATGTTCATTTGCCAATTTCTCAGTTTCCATTGCTTCTTGTCAATAGTAGTCCTTCCCTACAAACCCAACGCTACATCAGGGTAACCATCTGCCTGTTACTTTTCTGTGGTAACTGATTACCATAGGGGAAAATCACATGTTGTCCCCTCCCACCCTACCAGGCATACCTCTCTTCTTGTTAATTTATTTACTTGGCCTTAGGTGCCCATATGTAGCGGTTATGGCTGCATCCATTTACAATGTGGTTGAGTGGGAAAAAAAGGGTTTTAAATCTGGTCAGACAGATTTGGGGTTGAATGACATATTGACCTACTAGTGACTGTGTGACCTTTGATACATCACATTGTCTCTGAACCTTAACTTTGTCCAATGTAAAATGGATTTTACAGTAATAAGAATACCTACCTCATAATGTTGTCAACAGGATCAGTGAGATAATTGGTATACTGGTGTATACTGGTTATCTCATTGAGAGAGAGAGAGAGAGAGAGAGAGAGAGAGAGAGAGAGATTCTCCATCTGCTATTTCACTCCCCAAACGGCCACATCTCTCAGGTGGCTGGGCTATGCTGAAGCTCCATCCTGGTTAACCATATGGGTGGTGGGAGCCCAAGCACTTGGGATATCTTTTGCTGCCTTCCTAGGTGCATTGACAGAAAGCTAATGGAGTAGCCAGGACTTGAAATGGCGTTCCAATATGGGGTGGGATGCTGGTATAGCAAGTGGTGGCTTAACCTGCTGCATCACAATGTTGACTCCTCTAAAGCACTTCTAGTTGTCAATCTCATACATTTTGGAAAGTCTTTCCATGAAATCACTCCACTCTTTGCTCTAGCTGATGTTATTCATCTATTTCTTGAATATATTAACTTGCCTTTCTCTGGCTAACCCTTATATGTCATGGTTCTCCCAGGATCTAGCCCGTCTTTTTCCTTTGCACTCTATATGTCTTTGCTAGCACCAGGATTAAGGTGGGGAAACAAGGCATCTAGGGCACAACATTAAGGAGCCCTCACTCTCATGGTGTGTAAATAGTGGCCTTGCTTGCTGTACCTAAGTCTGGCCCAGACCTTTTTCATTACATTTACTTAGCACTCAGCCCTGACTTCCAAGTACTGTACTAGGTGCCACAATATCCATGCTCACTCCCTTGGTGCTCACACATACATGGATGCAACTACTATTTATATTACACTGGATTCCAAGTACCAATCTCTAACCAGATGTAGCTTCTGAATTGGAGATCATCTTTCCAGTTCCCTAACTGCACAACATAATATGGCCAGTGATAGCTGATGTTTATGTAGTATTTCTGCTATGAATTATAGTTAGTACTTTGTTTCTATTATTTCATTTCATCATTGCAGTAGTTCCATAAGATAGATACTGTCATCCTGGTTGGTAAACGAGGAAAACTGAGATTCATGCAGGTTAAATATATTGCCCAATGTAACAAGCTAGAGCATCAGAGCCAGGATTTATTTTTTAAATTAATTAATTTATTTGAAAGTCATAGTAAAAGAAAGTCAGGGAGATCTTCCAAATACTGGTTCACTCCTCAGATCCCTGCAGCAGCCAGGGCTGGGCCATGGCAAAGCCAGGAGCCAGTAACAATATCTAAGTCTCCTATGTGAGGGCAGGAACTCACGTACTTGGGCCATCTGCTGCTGCCTCCCAGAGGCATTAGCAGGAAGTTGGATTGGTAGTGAAGTAGCTGGGACTAGTACTGGCACTCTGACATGGGATGTAGGTGTCCGAAGAAGTGACTTAACCTACTGTGCCACAACACCTGCCCCTAGAGCCAAGATTTAGACTCTGGCATTGAGATACAGTACCCATGCTCTTAGGTACCATGCTGTGTCCTGTTAATCATATCAGATTTGAAATGTCTAAGACATATTCTATGTATTTGCCCTAAATCTGTTTATCTTCCACATTCAGATGGTTATTAAGTTGTATAATTCCACTTCTTTTTAAAAATATTTATTTATTGATTTGAAAGTACAGAGAGAGAGGAAAAGGCAGAGAGATATCTTCCATTTACTGGTTCACCCTCCAAGATGGTTGCAATGAGCAGTGCTGGGCCAGGCTGAAGCCAGGAGCTTCATCCAGGACTCCCACAGGGATACAGGGGCCCCAACATTTGGACAATCTTCTGTTTTTCTCAGGTTGTTAGCAGGGATCTGGATCAGAAGTGGAGCAGCTGGGACATGAACCGGCATCTATATGGGATGCTGGATTCCCAGGCGTCAGCTTAACCCATTATGCTACAATGTCAGGCTGCAATTTCTACTTCTTTAATATCATTGGAATTTCCCTTTTCTCTGTATAGCTACTGTCCAGGTTCTGGCTCCTGTGTCACCCTGGATGATGTTATAAGATAAAAGGACAGCAGTTATACAAATGCAAAATCATTTTTTAGAAGCCAATGACAGCTTAGCAGCAGAAGAGTAATGTCCATCCTGAGGGAAAGTCCCCCAGCCCTCTCCTCAAAGGTCTATTATCTCTGACTCCAGTGGCTCCAGAATCATACTGTCTTTCTCCTCAGTATTGTCTGGGAGTTATATATTTAACCTTCCTTCAGGTTTAAATCTAGTCCATATTTCCCCAGCTCTGAAATCCTAGTCCCTCTTCTTTTGTCCCTATCTTTTTGCCAACATCTCAGCTCTTCATGGGGACAATCACTGTGTAACAACTTCCATTATCCCACTACTTATCTTAAAGAAGGCTTTAGAGCCTTTGTCTTCCCAGATATGTGTAATGACTTGTGTTTATGTATTTTGTGAGTTTTTCAACAAATTTTCTTATACTTTAACTCTACCTACTTTGCTGGTTCAATTTAACCTTTGCATTATTGCATCATTATTTCAGTGTTTCGGTCTGATTTCCTAGCTGACATAATGTCTGGAGTGGGAACCACAAGGACAGTCTGCTTTCTGGGGATTCTTAGGGTTGGCACCCCTGATCCCAGCATAGTCACCCACTAGATTTGATTCTAGTAGGTTGACAAGTAAGTGTGATAAATGCTTCCTGTGAGCACATGCTGTTTGTTCAAATGGGATAAGTTCATTTCTGTCTGCTCTCCTCTGGGGAGAATATAAATTCACTTTAGTTGTGAAAAAAACAAAGTAATATATGTTACATTAACTTCATTTCTATTCTTTATGTTAGTTTTGAACTTTCTTCTCTTCTCTAGGGAGCTCAACTGAGTATTGAGTTTCCCCAAGTATCAACTCTGACACATTTGAAATTAGAGACCAAAGGATTTCTTCCCAAAACACAAAATACTTTGGTGAACAACAACTTACTAATGGAAGATTAACCTTCATGTTTCAACTAAAATTTAGTTGTAATTTTCAAAATTAGAGATGTATATCATTATATGTTGTTAAATTTTGTAATATATCATCTACCTGAAAACCAGATTTTTGTGTAAATAAAACCAGTTGTGGTTTTAATGTTTACCATTTTTAATTCAAAGTAGTGAGTCCAAAAAATGCAAATGTAACATATTTTTCTCTGTACTCTGCTGTTTCCTTGCTAACCTGTTACCCAACTTGGTAACAATTTGTTAAATTAAGGAGATGAATGTTTTCTAAGAGAAATTGCATTGTCAAATCATAAGTTTCACAGAGTCCATTAAATAAAAATGAATTAGAAGCATTGTAATTCTATTTAGTTTTAATAATGAGGAAGAAACCCCAGCTACTGGGGAGTCAGTACTTACCAATGCACATGCTCTTTGCTAGGATCTCAAATATTGCTATCAAATCATGTAATCATTATTTAGAGAAAAAGATAACACCATCCATATCTATATCTAAAACACAAGCATACTCAATGTATTTTAAAAAGGAAACAAACCTGTACATTCAGCACTGAGTAGATACCCCAAAAGGCAAATGGTGATGAGGCCCGGTGATTCTGCCATGATTGTGTTCAGGAACTGCATAACCTTTGCTAGTAGGTTGTGCAAGTGGCAAGGTTGGTCAATTGTTCCAAAGTACAAGCTGAGCTGTATTTACTTCTGGGAAATAATGTCCATCTCCCTCAGTGGGTCCTTGGGCTATTTACAATGGCCTTTAGGGTCAGGTGATGAAAATGGCCAGTGGTCATCATTAACCTTCACCTCTGAATGCTGGGCCTCTGACACTGTGGATTATTTGAGAAGGAAGCAGCAAGTAACTTACATTCAGACTGAGGATAAGTTTGGTGGCTACAGTTGCTGGGGCAGCAAAATTAATCCATGGGACCTACCTTATACTTGTCAGGGCTCACTAATGTCATATAGTTTAAATGTAAAGAGCTGGAAAGAACAAATTTATTTGATCACTGACCTTAAAACAACTTAAAATATACATGCCCTTGGGGTCAGTGTTGTGGCATAGCGGGTTAAGCTAGAATCCTATATGAACATGTATTGCAGTCTCTGGTCCTCAGCTTCTGATCCAGCTCCCTGCTAATGTGCCTGGGAAAGCAGCAGAAGATGACCCAAGTCCTTGGGCCCCTGCACCCACATGGGACACCTAGATGGAATTTTAAATAGTTTTAGCCTGGCCCATCCCGGCCATTGCAGCCAATTGGTGAGTGAACCAGCAGATAGATGATTTTTCTTTTTGTCTCTCCCTTTCTCTCTGTAGCCCTGCCTTTCAAATCAATCAATCAAAAAATGTTTAAAAAAATACATACCCTGAGTCACCTGATGGAACATTTCATGCTCATTCTCATAATTGGGAGTCTATAATCATTGTTGTGCCATGTCTCCATATGACACAAGATACAGACCCATTTGTTCTGACTCAGAACAAATGGATGAATATATGTAGATGTATACACACTACTATATTATACATATGAAACAAATGTATGAATATTACTATGTAATAGTACATATTAATTTGTGGTATTATGTCATTTTACATATAGTATTAGAAACTCCTAACAGTATACAACTACTTACTTGCCATTCTTTGTGATGCTATGATACATTTTACTTCTACGTTATAAACTCTATATTGTTATTACTTTTGATTGAACAATCTTTTTTTCTTATTTTTAAAAAATTTTAAATTAGTTATACAATTTTCATGTGTTTCATATATACAGATTTAGGAACATAGTGACACTTTGCACACTACCTTCGCTCCCACCCATGCTCCAATACTTCCTCTGCCTCCCTCTCACATTCCCATTCTTAATTTTTACAAAGATTTATTTACAGTTTACTTAATGATTGTACAGTTAACCCTACACTAAATAAGAGTTCAACAAATAGTATGAAGACAAAAAACAAAAAAACAAAAAACAAATAACAACAAAACCAAACACTGTTCTTCAATGGAACAGACAAGGGCTATAAACAATCACTGAATTGCAAAATATCTATTTCACTCTAATGCATTATATTTCTTTTTTTTGACAGGCAGAGTGGACAGTGAGAGAGAAAAGACAGAGAGAAAGGTCTTCTTTTTCCATTGGTTCACCCCCCAATGGCCACTGTGGCTGGTGCACTGCGTTGATCCGAAGCCAGGAACCAGGTGCTTCTCCTGGTCTCCCATGGAGTGCAGGGCCCAAGGACTTGGGCCATCCTCCACTGCACTCCCGGGCCATAACAGAGAGATGGACAGGAAGAGGAGCAACCAGGACAGAATCCGGCACCCTGACCGGGACTAGAACCCGGTGTGCCGGCGCCGCAGGCAGAGGATTAGCCTAGTGAGCCACGGTGCCGGCCATCTAATGCATAATATTTCAAGTACTCTATTAGTTACCTTGGATCAGGGAAAACATATGATATCTGTCTTTTTGGGTTGGGCATATTTCACTAAGTATGGTAGTTTCCATTTGCATCTATCTTGTTGCCAAAGATGGGATTTCATTTTTTTTAAACTTTTATTTATTAAATATAAATTTCCAAAGTTCAGTTTATGGATTACAATAGCTTTTCCCCCACCCATTACTTCCCTCCTACTCGTACCCCTCCCATCTCCCACTCCCTCTCCCATTCCATTCACATCAAGATTCATTTTCAATTATCTTTATATACAGAAGATTGATTTAGTATATATTAAGTAAAGATTTCATCAGTTTGCACCCACACAGAACATAAAATGTAAAATACTGTTTCAGTACTACTTACAGCATTAATTCACATTGGACAACACATTAAG